AAATATTTGGTATTTGATCCGAACCTGTTGCTTTCCAGTTTTTGCCATTTACCTAGTATTGTTATTTCTGCTGTTGCAATTACTTTCAAGTTAATTGGTGGGAGTTAATTTCTTGATTGACTGAACTAGACTGTTATTATTAATATTATTATTACTTTATTACTATTACAACTATCTCTTGCGCCAGAAAGGAATTAAAATATATAAATTTTTATTGAGTTGCTCGTCCTGTCCACTAAAAGCGTTAACCGAAAAACAAAAGCACGATCGATCGCCGCGTAATATTTCCCCCTATCAAGTATTAATAATGAAAATGGGTCCCGAAATATGGACGACGCTTATGGGCTCGTCCAAAACAGGTGTTCGAAATTGTGCGGCTGCTTTTACGGGCTCTTTACATTTTCCAGGCCGTGTTTACAGAAGGGTAAATTGTCTGTTTCGGGCCGATTTGTGTTTATTACTAACGACGCCGTATCGACGAAGGAGATAACGATGAAAAACAACTCGCGGGCGGACCCCCCCCCTGCTCCAAGTGGTTTTTCATTTTCGAAAATTTATGGGCCGCTCATTTAGATCCCGAAGAGGATGTGCTTTTAAAATAAAGTGAAAACATTTCGGTGAATGTTTGTACAGAGATTTGCAACCTGTAGTAACAGCTTGGTGGAAGAATATACACCCCTAACTTTACCCACCTCTACATTTTTTTAGATTATGGTTAGATAATTGTATTACTAAACAAAATTTCGCCATAAAGTATTTACTTTTTAAATTAAAGTTCTAAAAATTATACTAGATTTGCAGGCGATATATGAACTTGATAGATAAATCTTGAAGATTTGCATTCATAGACATTTTCCGAATATGAACAAGTTTTGTGCGTGCTTCAAAACATATTCTCACCCAGAATATTTTTGATGCACCGCCAAATGGCTCCTTTGGAGAAATAATACATTCATAAAGTCTTTCACAGTCCAGTGTGCATGATCTGACGGTTAAGGCGAAAATGTCGACCCTTGTTACAGTTTCGAGTTGATTACCGACCTTTTTAGAGGTTTGGTCTGTTCATAGATATAAGAAAGTGACCAATTGCTTTTGAATGGGATTATCCAAGGGTGGTCATTAACATACAATGCAACAAGATTATTACCTAAAGTTTCGGAATTTAAATACAGGTAAAATTTTTTTATATATATTTTTTTATAATTTTATACCTACCTGTGTTTAATATTCTTTGGTTTGATATACTACTTAGTTTAAGTTAATTAGTAATCATTCCTATTTCGTGTGTACTACAGCGTGTGTTGAATCGTGTGCGAATTATGCAAAATATGTGCGAGTCTAGATTTCAGAAGATGCTCCCGCCCAAATGTAGAAAACACACTAAGGAAGTTATGAACATTGTTTATTTGATTCTCATTGAACTCCAGCAAGCAAGCATCTTTAGAAGAAACGGCCACATTGACGAAAATTCCCACATCAACTGTATGGAAATGTGAATAATCCCATTTCAGCGAGGAAAAAAAGAAGCTGACATTTTCTCGAGTGTAAAATTTACCAGTTATACGAGGAACAAAGCGTGCCTACATTAGATATCTTAATTAGGAAGCTTGAAAAAGATGAAACCGGTGTTAAATGTGGCAGAACTACCTTATGGAAGTGTATTCAACACATGAGTTTTAGATTTAAAAAAATTGACAAAAGGCAAGTTTTAATATAATCTTTTAGAATTCGGAAATGGCGACTGGCACATCTAGAAAAAACTAGGATTTACAGAGAACAGCAAAGGCGAATTATTTACTTGGAAAGCCCGGAAAAGGGTTGGGTTGACTCCCCTGATAAGTGTAAAACAAACGCGCCATCAAAAAGAGGTATTTTGCATGCTGGCTCTAAGGGGGTTGGATTCCAAATGGACTTTGTCGGCGAAAAATATTAAAAATTCTTCTCTGGATTACCATGAAGACACCACCGCTGATTTATTTGAAAGTTGGTTTAAAAACAAACAAATTCCAAACATTCCCCCTAATAGCTCATCGTAATGGACAATGCAAGTTATCACAGTAGACAGTTGACTAAAACCCCTTCCTCATGTGACACAAAAGCAACAATACAAAACTACATGTATAATTACAACATTTATTTTCATGAAGATTATACCGAAAAGCAAGTAATTGAGCTTCTACAAAGCTTGAACCTACAAAAGGAATACGTCTGTGATAATTATGCAACAAATCTAGAGCATACAATTTTAAGGCTTCCTTCCACCTTACCACTGCATAATTAATCCCATTGAACATGTTTTGGCACCAACTGAAATCTGCCATTCGTCGTAACAATGTTTGTCCCCGTGTTAACTCCAATGTCCTCAAACTTATAGAAACCGAAGTTTTTAACTTCTGTTAAATATATAGAAAAAGCAGAACAATCGTATATCCATATTTCAAATAATATAGAACAAATAAGAATTAGAACAGGCGATGATAGCGATAGTGATACTGATATATTATGTGTATAATTTTAAGTAATTTAAGTAGGTAATAAAAATCATTTGTAATTTTATTTTAGATTTAAACATAAATACATATATAAATAAATAAATGTTGTTTAGTATCTTTCCTAACAATACACCAAATAATTAAATTCTAAGCAAAGTATGGACCTGTTCGGCCATATTTCATTCTTACAGCTTGCCCGGGTCTTTCCTTAATTCGTACCAGTTAGTCACTTTCTTATATCTATGAACAGACTTTATATTTGTTGTTTTGTAATACTCTTATCGAATAAAGCAAGCTTCCATCAATTTGTAGCCCTTTTCCTGCACTGACCATGTTGGCCTAGGGAACTTATCCACACAAAAGAATAACCAACACTCAAACAGTGATTTCAAATAATACAGACATCAAACTAAAAGATATTATGTAAACGAAGTACTTAACTTTTTTAATTTAATTGAAACAGTTATAAATCAAAAACAACTACTTGACATAAGCCAAAAAACATTTCTAAGAGTGAATGCTAATGTTTGAGAGACATCGTTTTAGATAATATAGATAAGTCAGGCCTAGGCCTAAAAAATCAACTCAACTAGAGATTTATCATACCATACGCTATATTCTGTAGCTAGATGATAACAAAAAAGTTGCTGCACTTTTCTTCCACTTATTAAATTTATTTGTTACCATTGGACACAACATTCTTTTAAAGAAACTGAACAAGTACGAGATAGGGCAAATATTCAGGAGAAAAACAGTTAATATTTTACGTAACAATGAGAATGAAAATACATCAAGGAATACCACAGGGGTCAATACTTGACCCGTGCTCTTCCTGCTTTATGCGAATTGTGGGTGGAATAATTCGTCAGTTTGCGGACAATAGCTCTATGCTTCTAAGTGATCCTTTTGGTACCAATATGCGTGAATGGTGTGAAAATCATTAATGCTGAATTTTGAAAAATTCCGACTGTTAACGCTTCAAAAATCAAAAGTGCCTACTAGATGAAACAATAAGCCTGGACAAAACAACTGAAAGACGTGTCAAGATTTATCACCACTTGTGCTGTAATTAAGAGGTTTAGAGATGGAGAGATTATTAAACTATAAGAATTAGCTATGAAATACCTTTTGGGAATCCTTCTCATAACACAAAAGAGATTTATCCGATGCATCATCCTTTGTCGAATGCGTTGCGTGTTTAATAAAACTTAATAATGTCTATTGTTTATATATAATATATTTGTTGTACGTTATTAAATATTGTGTAAACAGGATGAGATAGTAGACGACACAGAATAATTAAAAACATATTTTACCAAGCTATTGTTCGATTAATTACTTAACGAATGCTGTCGGAAAGTGATTAGTTATTTTTTCGTTCGTAAATAAACAGAACGAAAGCTGCCTCGCTAATTAGCCTCGAATTTTCGTCGAATTATCCCTAAAAAAGGCCACCTAATTGGGCTGTTGCTTTGCCCGAGCGTATATTTGTTTGCAGTAAATAGGTCGTTTCACAATTTATCCGTTCCCGACACGCACGTCTTCTTTCAAATTCCATTTATAAACGTCATTTATTGTTCGTCCCGACACCAAACGAATCGAATGAATATTAATTTACATCATCTCCTTCTCCCCCCTTTCGTCTATAATCGTTCGCAAACTTCGAAGCGAAGATTCTATTGTGTCGCGTAATTGTTAATCGTAGTTTACGGAATTGAATTTGAGGAACGCCATTATAATATTTGATATCCGTTTTTGTTTCAGACTGTGTCCCTGAGGAGTACGACAATTGACGACGAAAAGAAAAAACGATCTTGAAATTAAATGACACTTCCTGTTTTTCTTGAACTTATATATATATATATATATATATATATATATATATATATATATATATATATATATATATATATATATATATATATATATATATATATATATATATATATATATATATATATATATCTGTGTGTGTGTGTGAGTGTGTGTAAAAAAGGATTTAAAACTCATAAACGGAATAATAACAGGTCTAACATACCCACAGAAGAAGAGCGAGAAAATCCAGAGATAGGATAAGACATGGGTTGGAAATAACACGACACTATCGATGACATTAGTACCAAGCAGCTCATATGGTACCTGAATTTCAAAGAGTATCTTAAATTGAAACCCTCAGAGAAGAAGAAAGCGAGGAACGCCACGTAACCGTTCAAGAAACGAAGCTCGGGCCAGAGGTCTGAAGGAGCAAAAGACAACCTCGTACTTGGAACTCGAGGTATGTCCCGTCTCGCCCCTCCGCCGCGCCCCAAACCAAATATTTTCGTTTGCGTATCATATTTGCTTAAGAACACCGAAATACACCGAGTCGGCATTAGCAGAAGTAATCCTGCTACCAGCAGGAAATCGATCGGGGGCCTCCCCACCCGTCCGCTTCTCAACTCCTTCCACTGTTTTACCCCCACTCGACGGTCCCGGAGATTCTGCCGCCAGGAGAGTGTGACTTTGACCGTCGCCAGCGTTGCGTGCCCTCGCGAAATAGGGGTTGAAATCTCTCGCCGTCGCGGTAGCCGCAGTAGCGATCGTCGCGTGTGAATTATTCAGTGCGATTGGGACTCTTTCAATACGCCCCCACGGTAGAGGTTGATTTATTTTGATCGAAGAGGAGTCAGGGGGGTTGATTGGTTACGAGGTAGGGCGGATTTTCATTTTGAATTACTGTACGGGCTTGTTGCCGGTATGGAACTTTGACGTGTTTCAAGGTAAGCTTCAATTTGCTGATGAATGCTCGATTTCGTATGCCGGTTTAAGGATCCAATAGTGCAGAATTTGTGTGTAGGGGTCTTAATTTTGGTATTTTTTCTCGATATCTCTGTTATTTTTATAGATCAAAAAGGGCGGTTTTCGCGACAGTGTGCTCCTTTTTTGTAAAACTGAAGATGCGTTACCAACATTTCACAGTTTTTAAGATACATTAATTTTTCAAAATTTTGCATTTTTGTAATAGAGGCTTTGTAGAATGCACCTTTTCTGGGAAACAGTGAAATAAAAATTAAATGCAGTATAGTAAGCCATGAATTACAATAATTGATAGTTACATATTACTAGCAATTATAACTGGCCGCCATTCATCGAGGGATCTTCTTATAAAAACCCAACATTTTCAAGACAACCTATAGAGTTCCTTTTTTGGCAATAATTTTTTTGTAGCGTAAAATAATAAACAAACAAAATATTTAAATAATAATATACATTAATTTTTCAAAATTTTGCATTTTTATAATAGAGCTTTTGTAGAATGCACCTTTTCTGGGAAACAGTCAAATAAAAATTAAATGCAGTATAGTAAGCCATGAATTACAATAATTAATAGTTACATATTACTAGCAATTATAACTGGCCGCCATTCATCGAGGGATCTTCTTATAAAAACCCAACATTTTCAAGACAACCTATAGAGTTCCTTTTTTGGCAATAATTTTTTTGTAGCGTAAAATAATAAACAAACAAAATATTTAAATAATGTGCAATATGCAAAGTTGTAATTTTTTGAATTTCATTTGAAAGAACCACTGGTGCCATTTGCGAATGGAAGGGATAAAGGAATTGCCGCTCGAAGTTTTAATAGGTCGTATTCTAATAAAAGAATCAGAAATACAGATTTCAATATCGCAGAGGCCACATAACAGGTCCGTCGGTTCCATCTTTGACAAAAGTTGTCATCTCGAAATGCTCTTAAGAACTTCGAGTTATGACCTAAGCCACCAACTTGGTGTAGGTGTAGGTTTGTTAATTTAGTATTTATCGAGACGTTATTTATGTAAATTCTGGACGTATTTTACCGTTTCCGTAAATTTTGGACACCAGGTGTAAATTTAAAAATATAATGAAAGATTCAAACCAAGATTGAGACTATAGTACTTGGAGTAACATTTAGTCATGAAGGTATGTAAAATATATATTTGTTTATTTATCTTATTTGTTACTGAAATGACTGAGCGGTATGTCAAAGTTTTTATGATTTATACTCACCGCAATGTTCAAATAAGTCAAGAGATTCGGAACGTTTGATGTAATTGAACCAGCAAAGCATAAGCAGATTTTGAATAATTCGTATTTTTTAAAAAACTATATATTTATTAATTATATATAGCAATGACATCAAATTTAATCAATGTACTGTAATTTATAATTGTGCATTAAAACAGAACAAAAAAACATTCGAGGATCGGACGGCATAACATGATTCGATTCGTGATTCCAAGAAATATTGTTTTTTAGCAGTTCATTCAGCAAAGTTAAATTTAAAATATAATTTTCAAACTACCGTTCTGGTTTTAGAGCATTTTCCGATTATCGCAAGTTTGTTCAACTGCCACTGACGCAGCAGAGCAGAATTTCTGTAGTTCCTCTGGTGTTATAGGCTGATAGCACAATCTAATTAGAAAGAGTGTCAGAAATCGAAACTAATCCAGATTGCGATGTCGGGTGCCGTTTCCATCTGAGTTCGTACCGCCTATTTCCTTTTTACGACCACCGGGCGAAAATCGGATCGAAAGACAGTATATATAAGACCCCCACGCCGGCCACTTTGCTTTGATTTCTTTTAAAACGAGTTTGTAATACTGCCGGAAGGCGCTCTTTGAGAGGTGTCAGTCATGCCTGAAACTCTTGGAAAACGGCTTAAAAGCGAAAAAGCAAAAACTTTTAAACTCGTGCGGCATAGTCGGCATGGTGACGTTGGAGGTCGATCTTTTGCGCCGAACGTATAAAAATTCCTGAGACGCGGTAGCGTGAAATTTAAATAACCCAACGGGTGTGTAAAATTCGAAAGGCATTTTTTCCCCAAAATCGATTTCGGGTAGCTTGAAATTTGTATTTATCATTTTATGTTGAAATTATTGGGATAAATACAACAATATTTTCCAGTCTTGTAATGCAATTGCATATGCAATTGATTAAAGAGAAGAGGATTTCAGTTTAGCAGTGGAGGGAGTTGAAGAAATTCTCTTTTTTTTAGTGTTACATGATGTAACATGTTTTTCTTGAATTCTGAGATTAGTCTCTCTATTTTGGAACATAGTTGCCAAGGTTTTAAACTCACAAGTGAGACTTTAAGACAAGTCTTATTCGTTAAAAATTTTAAGTTGCTCTTTATTAACTGAGAAAATCTCTCATACAAAATTTCTATTTTTTTGTGTTTAGTTTTTTTGAAATAAATGATTTTATTTTATTTTTTTGAGATGTTGCAATCACTAACATTTTAAGAAGATACAACATGGTGGTAATTATTCTCTAATATGACTTTGCAGTAATACAAATATGGTTGGACTGTATCGACGCACGTAATGTCAAAAATGCAGAAATAATTATTCTAAATTGATAGAGGACTTGAATCCTTGAGAACTTGTGCCCCAAGTCCTTTTAGACTATACTTGACTATTTTTAAATAACCAATAAACTCGAATAAAAGCTCATCTACCTATAAATTTCAAATCTCCGTATAAAAAAATAGAGGACATTGAAACACCGTAAACATACTACTTACCACTAAAAAGGAAATTAAAACCGTGAGGCTGGTGGCCTGGGGATACATAGTTGGGTTGCCAAATGCAAATTAAAATAGATGCTTTTGCTTTCGCTGCTAATATTTGAATAACTCATTTTCCATTTCAATTTTCGGCATTTTCATTCCAAATTTTTTCCTGTTTTTTTTTTTTAAATGTAATAGCCACATTGTATAGTTAATCTTTTATATTCAGCGGCGGATCCTATAAAATGTTTCAGAGGATTAAAGAAATTTTGATTTCTTTTGAATTATTTTAACACGCAAAGTATAACCTTATTTTTAACTAACTCTCTTTTATTTTATACGTTAATTTTGGAGATATAACTCAAAGTTATTATTTTTCAATGTGTCGAACTATACTAGCAGAGAAACATCTCTGTAAAAAGGGTTGCAAACGTTTCCTTTTTGAAAGATCTGGACAAAAGCCTAGAACACTTGGCCGCGGTTCTGATTTAGAACGTTTGTCAGCTAGTGCTGCGTGATTTATGGAATCAAAAAGAAATACTTAAAGTATTCGTTTCGCTAAGTATACCTTCAAACAAACTACATAAGCCTGAAACATGAAATTTCAATTTAAAATCCCAAGTTTTGGTGAATGTTATTGAGTGCTAGATTAATCAGAAACTGCCAAAACAATATTCAAGTTTACACTTACATTTTTTTCTATTTAAGAGACTTTTAAGCCCGGCAATAACAGTTCATCGGACCATCAACTTTAAATCCTGTAGTAAATGAAACAATAGGGCATCGAACCCCCCTTAACATACTACTGAGTCCTCGTCACATATCAAATCCGCCTCGAGATTGACGCTGTTCGTACGACTCGTGTTTGCGAACTTCCCTCTCGAAAACTTCGACGACGGGCATTCGTTTTCTGCCCCTAAATACCTACTTTATATCTCCGACTGCGGACGTGATAAATCTCCACCCGGCAAAGTAGTTGTAACTTAATTGAAAACTGCTGTAGTTTTGTCGAGGGGGAGGAACGCCCGTCCCGCGGCTCCCCGCAGGGGGCCTCCTCCTTAAGTGCGTCGGGGGTGGTTTATTACCACTTAATGCTGCGCATTTTTTTTTTAAATCTACGCGTAATGGTTTGACGGGGAAGGAAACTTTGAAATATGGATTTTTTAGGCACAGTTGTTGTTTTTATTGAATAAATATATATTTACAAAAGTTTGGCTTTATAAAGCCACATGCATTTCAGGGCGATATGAAACGCATTTCTCAAATTGATAAACTTAAGTTCATGGAGTATTTAATATTATAGTTTTTGACTTGGTTTCCTATCCTGCTAATAATTGAAATATACTCTACAATCAAATACTTTTAAAAAATCAGAAACTTACATATTACCAAAAAAATTGTAGTCCCAAATGATGTACTTGTAAGTATTAAGCCAAATCAAATACGGGCTACACTAAGCGATACGGCTTGTTTTTTTATTTATAGGCATTGATACCTTAAACATTTGAGTGTTTAGAGGGTTTTATATTTTCTTCTTTTGCTAACGTCTCTGTCACTTTTCATCTTGTAAATTTAGTTGATTTTAAGTAAAGATTTTGATAAGCTCAATCATACAAGGTAAAAATATTTCTTGGATTATTCATTGATCAAAAACTCAAACTCAAAATATTTTGGTCTTCTACAATATCCTAATCTCTACGGGGAAGTTTTTTGGACAAGATCAAGAAGTTTTGGAAAAATATTTTTCTACTACCGTCTGTAAAATAGCTATTACCCACCGATCTAGCATGCGGGAAGCGTCACTTTACCACGTCAGTTTCGTTTCCCATGAATCCGAGTCACTTCGGACATTTCCGGGATTTTACCGCACGGATTTGGGGGCAAACGGATGTTTTCGGAGATATTTCCCACGCTTTGAATTTTGACGTTTGTCAATTCTGAAGGTCATTCGTTGTTGTTTTGCGAAAATTTAACCAAAACTAACGGTCATAGAAAAAGTATAATATGCAACACGTTCGGTAAGCTTTTTAGCTCACTAGTGAGTCAAATGACGTTTACCGCACTTGTTGCATAATATACTATCATTTTACAAATAAAAAGTAATCGGATCAATGGGTGATAGTCAGCTCAGACTCTTGTAGAGAATGTTTTAGAAAATACAATATATTCATTTTTTCCTTTCGCTATATATATATCATTAAGAGATGCGGAACACATGAATATAATATT